TCAGTAGTTGTACTTAGTGACTTAGTGGTTGTATTGAGTTAGCGATTCACAGAGTGAGTGTGTGAGTGAGTCAATAGATATAAGGGATATATGGGTAAAAGGAAATGGTTGTGTGAATTGAGTGAAGCAGTGGTTATATGGGTACAGTGAGTTGTGTGGTTGTATGGACAGTAAGTCAGTGATTCGGTGAGTGAGTCAATGAGTCAATGGTTGCAAAAGTGGAGTGAGTCAATGGTTGTACAAGTGGAGTGAGTGATAGTGGTTGTACAGTAGAAGTGAGTCAGTGGTTGCATTAAGGTAGAATGAGCCAGTGGTTACTCAAGTTGATTGAGTTAGTGGCTACTCAGCTGGATTGAATTGGTGGTTGTAGAAGTGGTCAGTGAGTCAGTAGTTACTCAAGTTGACTGAGTCAATGGTTACTCAGGTTGATTGAGTCGGTGGTTGTGCAAGTGGTATGTGACTCACTAGTTACTCAGGATGATTGAGTCAGTGGTTGTACAAGTGGTATGTGAGTCACTAGTTACTCAGGTTGATTGAGTCAGTGGTTGTACAAGTGGTATGTGAGTCAGTAGTTACTCAAGTTGATTAAGTCAGTTGTTGTACTGGTTAAGTGAGTCAATAATTAAGGTTAAGTGATTCAGAGGTTGTACAAGTGGTCCAGTAGTTACTCAGGTTGATTGAGTCAGTGGTTGTACAAGAAGTCAGTGAGTTAGTAATTGTCCGTCAATTAGTAAGTCAGTTGTTGTACTGGTTAAGTGAGTCAATGGTTATGGTGGAGTAATTCAGACGTTGTACAAGTGGTCAATGAGTCTGTTGTTGTACATCATTACTGATAGACTGATGAGTTAGTGGTTGTTTTTACAGACTGAGTAAGTAGTTTTAGATATTTGTAGAAGTCATATTGTTGTGTCTGGGTTTAGTACCCCTACTGTTACATTCAGCACATTCCCATCGTTTCTTGGCTCCTTGTCACAAATTACCAGACCATTGTTACATAACAGTTGTTCAGTGGTAACATGTATACACTCTTCAGTACATTGCTGTCTGTTTCCAATCTGAAAGGCCATTCCCATTGGGTACTGTCTTGTATAATACAGATTTCTAGGGAGAGTACCTTGGAGAGCCTTCATTAATGAAGTGGTTCATTTTTCCTTGGGGGCAATTCGTTCAAAGATGTATTTAAGATAAGGCAATTTTCTGTGTTTGATGACCAGCACATTTTTTTCAATGGCCATTTCACTTTAACATTGAAATTAACATAGTTTAATGAATTCTGTAATTTTGTGATCAACTATTCTCATTGTATATGATGAATCCTATGTCTGTGAAAATAGAATCTTTTTGAAAAAAATAACTTTACTACAGTAGTTTACCTCAAAAACATGAAATAGGATTAACTGTCAAATAATTTACTTTCATTGGGTTCAAATTCCATATTTAGAAAAAAAATTATCACTTTCACTCATTGATAAGCGGTAACTCATGTCAGTTTTTAACTGTAAAGATCAGTTCGTGGCTATATGTTTTTGTGGATTAAAAGTATCGATGAAAACAGCAAAATAAAACACCATGAAAATTGAAGATTTTACGGTTGCTTTTGTTTCTTGATTTACAAATGATCTGGTATAACATTTTCTAGGTCCAATGAAATGGAGTACACGAGAGAGAGTTACATGTATATCAGCCATGTATGTCAGCCATAACAACTCAAGACTTTAAGATAAGTGAAAAGTTTGGTTTTTATTGATCTGAATACTTTAGAATGGAATTACAACTTCCTTATAACTTTAATTTATTTCTAAACAATTTTAAAAATTTCTTTAATATGAAAAGAAATATCCAAAGCGCTTTCTGTTATTCTTTTAAGTTGTTTTTGCAAAATGACAAACATTTCCACCATATATATTCTACAAAATGAAATTCTGACCCAAAAAAGTTGAGAAATTGAGGTGGAGGTTGGAGGGAAAAAAAAGTTAAGGGTGGAGGTTGGGGGCGGGGTGGGGGGTAAGGTAGGGGTAGTCGGGCTTAAGAAACAGAGCAAAGGAAAGGTATTTGTTTCTAGGATGAAGGCGGGCTTATTATAAGTCATGTGCTTATTGCTGGATAGACAGATATGCAGAATTCCAACTTCACAAAATGTATGCACCTCCAGGCCAGTAATAGGAACATTCTTGTCAATGAAATCGCAATAAGCAGGAGTCATGTTATCACTGAGTCAGTAAAATGATATCAGTAGATGCAGGTTGATATTGTTCATCATATATATGATAATCACATAACCTAAGTGTTTGTAGGTATATAAAAGTAGATCTGATTCATCCTCGTCTGCCTCTCTCTTGTCTGATATACATATGTGATGGCATGCTGATAGTCAAACAACAAGTTGAATTTTTTCCAAATTTTAGGTTAAGGCTATCAGATGACCACACCTCTAAGGCCCTGCTGGGTCAGGAATCTAGCCCATAAAGCACAGGAAGTCCCTGCAGAGATAGAAAGTCACTCGCAAATCTTTCAGGATTCAAGATAGAAAAAAATTAAATCTTTTCATTTGCACTCTTTAGCGATAAAAAAAAATCCTTGCTGAAAATAAGTGAAATTTGAAAAACCCCAAACAGTAAACATTAGATGTTGAGGGAGAGATTGTTTGACATGGGAAGAACTGACAGACGCAGTGGCAGATTAGTTTCTAAATGAAGTACATGTACATCAATTATGCACCCACCTTCTCAACCCAATTTTGCATGTGAGCTACTAGCTCATCTGGGTCATATCTTAGAATAATTCCTCCAGGCATAAAGAGTTAACAACAGGAATAATTCCTTTGATTTTTACCCTCTTCCTTAAAAAACAAGCCATCTTGAGCTTAATTACCTTTGGCAAAGCGTTCTTTCCTTATACACCTTCATGGCTTTATGGTTGACTTCAATTTAAAAACTTATAGTGAGAAAACTGGTAGATTATAATTTAAAACTATAGATCAGTATTTATAGAGAACAATGAGTTCTATCATATTTGATTAGTTCACTGGTAATTATACTGGCTGGTAATCATGGGAAATCAATATCTGTCACACATGAATTTAATAAAAAAGTGAAAAATTGATGAAATTTAATGAATCGACAACCTGATCGATGCATGTTCAGAAACAAGATTTAAAGCTCAAATAGCAAAGGTTACATTCTGTAATTATCATAATGCATATTGCATTTCATTGTGTATTTGTGCAATACATAACTTGATGAAGATTTCCATGTTCTGTGTGACTGTCTTCTTTTGTGAATGCTGTAGGTGTTGTATTTTGCTTATTCTGGAGACGGGTTTTGAAAAAGGCAAGTTGGACTGACAAACTTTATCTCCAGGCAGATGTAAATTAAAAGAATTTTGTAGCAACTTCTGAAGCCTGCATGGTTTTGAATTCATCATTTTCACTATAATTTTCAACCTTTCAGAAAATTACAAAAGACACACAAGTGAATATCACCTTTCAATAAATAATCAGAAATAGATACAGATAATAAAATGTGCAATTAATAAATAAAATTGCTGCATATGGCTCTTTCATCCTTCTATGACTCGTCAGTGATGCTGAGGGCCTGATTCAAAGTGATCAAAAGAACTTGGAGATAAAGAAAAAAACTTCTCTATCTTTATCTACTTTGAAGAATGTTTCATATCTATTTCATCAATATCAGATTCTTTCAATTTACTTTAAATGCTTGAAGTTCAAAAAACCTGATGATCACAATATTTTGCTTTTAACTGAATCTAAATTGAGCGTTCTGAAATTTTCCCAAAATGTATCCTGTTTAAGAAAATTAAAGGCAGGCAATCATGAGAAACAATGACATGGTATCGTCACAAAAATGATATGATGAAGCTTTTGTTCTCAATAGTTTGTTTTTGATCAGTGATATAGCTATCACATTTAAAATATTTCTGTCCAATCCAATATCAGAAACATTTTCAAATCTCATAATCACTGAAGCATGAAATTTGATTCAAAATCAATTTTCTTTTCAATAATTTTGATTTTCTCATTAAGGAATTGGTTGCATTGTGTAATTCTTAATGAAGAAATATAAGCACCTATTTAAGTGTTCTAATATGATAACCATCGGTGTGTGAACTCACTTCTTCAAAATGAAGTCTATAACAATACAAATTAAATCGTTTTTTTTTTTCATTTAAAAAAAAAAATACAGGTATTATCTTATACCGTGCGTTTTATTGGTTTGTTATACAAATCTATTATGAACCTGTGCTTACGGCAAGATGCATTTAAAAGGATATTTTCATTACAAATTTGATGTTTATAATAACCAATTTTTAAACAGAAATTAGGTCTTTGTGTATAAATTATTTTGAAGTAATTATGCAATATTGTCTTTTTTAGGTGAAACATTGATTATTTGATTAATAATTATAGCGTGTGATTGATCCAAGTTATTATCTCATATTGTTCACACACACCATCAATCTTGTTCCTGTGTAATGAAATTGATCGGGAGTTTTCATCTTCGCATTTGGTTGGAACAGTACATTAGCAAGGTTTGGTAATTCCTAAACATTTTGCCTGCTACAGTGGTAAACACTGAGCTGCTGTGACAGATTAGACAAATTGATGAGTGTATAAACACAGAGTAAACTATGCAGGCTCTTTTGGTCAAATACGCGAGGGATTCTTTTATTTGATTTATTTGAATGGAGTTAAATTTGATTGGTTAAACCTGTCTCTCAATCTGACAGACCCAATCTGCAAAGAATGCATTACGGGTCGATTATCAAGACCAGGTGCCTGTTTTAATTGCACTGTAGGATGTGTTTGATACGGGTGAAAATGTTTTTTGTACTAATAGCACAGGACAGAATTAAAGCATTCAGCAATGCAACATTGTCTAAACATTCTATGATGCTGTCTTTACGTGGAGCCTATAGGATGATAGATGTTTAGATTTGATAGTTTTTGTTTTTTGTGAGAATATAGATAAGTGGTTACTTACCATTATTGTTTAACGAATAAATCCATCACATTTGGTGCTAAAAAAATCTAATCCAAACAGTTACGCATTGCACTGTAGTAGGATACCTCCCATACTCAACACAGGGATGAGGGTGGGCTGGTGTGAGACAGCCCTTGTGAACCACTAACACACTCTACACTGGGGGATAACACTACTGTGATGGAGCCTCTCTAATACTACCACCTGATTGATCCAATAGGAAGACTTCTCTTACAGCCAGTGATACGGAGGCTGGAAAGGCTGCTGGTGGACCTGTTACACCAGGGATGAGGAGGGAACTATCTACCAGCAGCTGGGCCAGTTACCCAGGCTCTTGTACCACTGTCATATCAGTAGCTGATTCCTGTCTTATCAACAAGAGGATTATCAGGGTGATTTACATTGATTATATTGCTTATCAACTCCAGCACCCCAGGTCAATTAATCACCTTGTCAAACGTTTAGTATTAAATTGAGAGTGGCGTGGTAGTGTTACTCAATTATGCTCATGCTTTTTATTTATATAATTTGATTTGGTCTCCGTCAATTTCTATCTACAAAGTACTACAACATGGTAACAGCTAATTCTGTCTGAGCCTACAATATCGTATTACAGTGTTATAATTAACTACATGTACATGCTATTTTTATGGAACACTGGGGATTTATTTTATTACTTCCAGGAAACAATTTCCTTTTTAAATTGAATTTGATGACTTGTAATTTTTTGTATGAAATATCTTTATCACATTTTATGATAGAAGATTAGTAAAAAATATTATGGGTTTTGCAGTGTTTCGCTATTCAGCATAATTCACAAGGCCTTGAAAAGACTTCGTCTTGGAACAGGTAAAGTCCATATACAAAGCCTGATATCCTCAATTCCGTATTCTAGGATGGTTGTCTACATTTACAAGGATCTGTCTCCTCGTCTTTCTATTCTTATATTGTTAGGCTGATTACCTACATAACAAGTCCTGTCTCCTCATTTCTTTATGGTAGGATGGTTGTTTACATATTCTAGGATGATTGCCTACATTTACAAGGTCCAGTCTCCTGATCTATATGTTCTAGGATGACTACCTACATTTACAAGGTCCAGTCTCCTGATCTGTATGTTTGTACATGGTTGCCCACATTTATAAGGAGATGTGTACCTATATTTACCAAGCCCAGCTTCGTAGACTTCTATATAATCTAGGATAATTGCCTACATTTACAAGGTCCAGTTTCCTCATCTCTATGTTATAGGATAATTGCCTACATTTACAATGTCCAGTTTCCTCATCTCTATGTTATAGGATAATTGCCTACATTTACAAGGTCCAGTTTCCTCATCTCTATGTTATAGGATAATTGCCTACATTTACAATGTCCAGTTTCCTCATCTCTATGTTATAGGATAATTGCCTACATTTACAATGTCCAGTTTCCTCATCTCTATGTTATAGGATAATTGCCTACATTTACAATGTCCAGTTTCCTCATCTCTATGTTATAGGATAATTGCCTATATTTACAATGTCCAGTTTCCTCATCTCTATGTTATAGGATAATTGCCTACATTTACAAGGTCCAGTTTCCTCATCTCTATGTTATAGGATAATTGCCTACATTTACAAGGTCCAGTTTCCTCATCTCTATGTTATAGGATAATTGCCTACATTTACAATGTCCAGTTTCCTCATCTCTATGTTATAGGATAATTGCCTACATTTACAATGTCTAGTTTCCTCATCTCTATGTTATAGGATAATTGCCTATATTTACAAGGTCCAGTCTCCTCATCTCTATGTTATAGGATGATGGGCTATATTTACAAGGTCCAATCTACTGATCTCTATGTTAAAGGATAATTGCCTAAAATTATGATTCGTAACCTCATCCTCTCTGTGTTTTAGGATAATTACCTATATTTACAAGGAGATGGGTTCCTTCATTTACAAGGTCGTCTCCTCATTTCTAAATTGGTTCCCTACATTTACAAGGCAAAGCCTCCTCTCTATATCCTAGGATGATTGCCTGCATTTACAAGGTCCTGTCTCCTGATTTCCATATTCTGTGGTTATTGCCTACGTTTACAAGATACTGACCTCTCATCTCATTGGTTTCAAACATCAACATGGCCCAGCCTCTTTCCCTCTATGTTCATGGCTGATTGTCTTCTGTCTCCTCATTTCTATATTCTAGGATGGATGCCTACATTTACAATGTCCAATAGCAACATTCTTGGACCGCCAAACTATGGTGTTTACATGTTGGAGTTGATTTGATATTCAAGGGCCTGTACCCATTATCACGATATTTGTGCAAGAAGTTGTCAACTGATGGACAAATTCGTAAATCAGGGATTAAAAAAATGCAGGTTGATAAAATTTAAGGAGAAATTTTATGGCTGTCATAGTCATCTCATTGACAAAATGTTCTATTTCTTTGTGATATGAAGCTAGATGTGTTTGATTATTGTTAGTTTGCCTGTTGATTCCATTGTTAAATACCTTGTTCTCTTTTGTGAACATCACATTACTTACTTGGATTGACCACGCTTTACATTGTAGATGTTGATGATGAAGCAGAGGATGCTTATTCTTTCGAAACACCTGGTCTTATATTCCTCATACTTTTTCAAGAGTGAGTCCATGTAAATCTTCCTTTGTTCATATTTTGGCCTATTGATTTTGACTTTGGATTATGATTATGTTGACGTGTTGGTATTTTCTTGTTTTGCTCTGACCAGGGTGGTTGCATACATTTACAAGGTTGAGTTTCCTTTCTTCCATGTTCTAGGATGCTGCTTACATGATCCAATCTGCTTGTGAGGATGGTACACTCACAAATTCTAGTCTCGGTCCAATCTTTTTGCCTCTTTACTAAATGGATGACCGCCTCCAATAATCTGTACTCCTGGTTCTAGGGGACATAATCTAACTGGTAAAGCTATGATCTGGGTGATTAGCCCTGCATGGTTTCACAGTTATATCTGATTAAGTGAGACACAAATTATTTCAAAACTTTATTTTTTTGTGAAGTAGCCTTCATTCTTGAACTTTTGATGTTCATCTTATATATATTCAATACCGGTCTAGGTTATATGCCCTTGTTTCAGTATTTCAATGGTTCTGTAGATGGTGAGCTGCACTAATGCTAGCCTTTCAATATAATTCTCCCTTGTTTCTGTATAGGCATAGTTCTGTTTCCTATTGTCATGGTTCTTTAGTAGATGTAAATTGAGATTATATTGTAGAACTTTCACTTTATATCACATTTTGCTTTATATCATCTTTTCATGACATAAAAAAAAATTCATCATTATGTATCCATCAGTTGCTTATAATACCTATGTAGTCCTTATATATATGGTTTCAGAGCTATGAAAAGATTTCACATTCTGCCGAAGGTTATTTTCTTTAAATTTCCTCTTTAAGGGTATATATTACTCTTAAATCTCTTCTTTTTGAGATGTGAAGAAAGTCAACACGGATTTGTTTAATTGGATCAAAAAATGCCATCAGGGAGAAATGATACAGCAGAATCAGATGTTGTTAATCTGTTCCAATTTATGGTAGATTATATATTTGTGTGTACAATGGCAGAATATGTGAGGGTTTCTATTGTGTAATTTATGTTGGCCCACTCTGCCTTTGATACAAGATTCCATGTCAGTGGAATGAAGCACTAGGACTCAGCCTGAGTGGTTCATGCTGTGTACAGCACCATAAAACATGGATGACCATGGTAGGGATAGCAAAATCAAGGCAAGTACCATAAGTCTATACTCTTATAGACCCATAATGTAGCACTTAATTGAAAAAAGAGGTCATAAAGAAAATTGTTTGATGACCATTTCAGAAATAATTCCTTATCACACTTCAAGAAATATAATGTCACCAAAAATATGTTTTTTCCCAAACTGAATGTCTAACACTCATTCACTATTAATTTGGTTTGTCCCTCCACCTGACTCATCTAGTTGTCTCTGTACCCTGAGCTACCATTAATCCTGTTGTCCTCAAACCCAGCCATAACTTCTGTTTGTTTTCAGTTCAAACTATTTGATCTTGTTCCCCTAAAAGCAAGCCATCACTTCTGTTCGTTCCCAGTTCCAACCATTTGATCTGGTTCCCCTAAAAACAAGTTATCACTTCTCCTGTTTGTTCCCAGTTCCAACCATTTGATCTGGTTCCCCTAAAAACAAGTTATCACTTCTCCTGTTTGTTCCCAGTTCCAACCATTTGATCTGGTTCCCCTAAAAACAAGTTATCACTTCTCCTGTTTGTTCCCAGTTCCAACCATTTGATCTGGTTCCCCTAAAAACAAGTTATCACTTCTCCTGTTTGTTCCCAGTTCCAACCATTTGATCTTGTTCCCCTAAAAACAAGTTATCACTTCTCCTGTTTGTTCCCAGTTCCAACCATTTGATCTGGTTCCCCTAAAAACAAGTTATCACTTATCCTGTTAGTTCCCAGTTCTAACCACTCCTGATCTGGATATCCTTAGAGCGAGCCATCATTGATCCTGTAATCAAAAAACTAACCTATCACTAATCCAATTGTCTTAGCCCCCTACTAACGATAATCCTGGTGTCTCTACGGGAAACAACCACTCTTACTGACGCCCAACCATTGAGGTGTTGCAACATCGATATGCATGCATTCACCAGAGATGTTGTTGTTTTCCAACTCTCCTTTCTTATGCAGCCAATACTGACCCAATATTTTGTCTTAAAACCCAGAAACTACTTCCTGATTGTCATCACAATAAATCACGTCGCAAAGATTGTTTGTTTGGCTGTTAGGTTTATCGACCCGTGAAGAGCAGGTGGTCTTTTTTAGGCTCGTTGAAGTATCTGGTAGCTACGTCACTGAACAACATATGGGAGACCTGTCACTTTCCATCCAGTGCAAGGAGGGTAAAGCTTTTTCAACCAAAGCCAAGTACTCCCAAGACAACAGATTGTTGTTTTCTCAGCTTCCTGAGAAACAAACCACCATAGGTATAGGAAGAATGAAACTGCATACCTTGGGTTTTCACCTGAGATGAGTGTGACATAAGCTAATGCTCTACTGGCAGAGCTGACATGGCTGTTCATTGTGAAGACACCAATTCAGTCACCCTTAATCCAGTTGTCCTAAAATTCAGCTGCCAAGTTGAATTGATGATTAAACCATTCCATATATATCTTGTTGTTTCCACACTCAGCTGCCACTTAATATTTCTGCTGTCACTCAAATCCCAGTCACCAGCTCACTAATACTATTGCCCAACATTCAGCCATCACTAATTATGTTGTCACAACACTCAGTCACCACTAATCCTGATGTCATAACACTCAGCCCTCACTGATGCTATTGCCCAACACTCATCCATCACTAATCCTATAACCCAACACTCA